ACAAATAACAAATCCCACCAAAGCAAGCCCATGCCTAATGAACAAATATTATAAGCCTAATCAATAGACCCAACAAATTTTCATTATTGTCTCTATCTCTTAGTGAACAGTAATTGGGGTTTATATTTATACTAGATGGCATGTCGCAAGTTACTGCGACTATTTACTCGTTCATTTTAGTATTCAATTTTGCATGCCTGATTATTTGATTTTATGAATTTACGGTTTGAAAATATCTTTTAAGTGATAAATTAGCTTGAAAAATGGAAGGAAAAAGTCTCTTATCGAGAGTGGAATCTAATATATGGGAAACTTACATAAGTCACAATTAATGCGAAAATGAAATTCGCATTACTCTATTTTCTTGTTTTATTGATGGAGAGTTGTATTTTATATCATTCAAACATATGAACTCCATATCAAACACCTTATAAAGTATGGTTGATGGAGTTGTGGAACCAATTGATCGATTAGATTTGGCAAAAATATTGTTTAGTGGTTTTATGTAAAAAAGGATACACATGTGAATGTTATTTGATTTGCGGGGAAATTAGAATTTATGGGTGAATATTATGTCAATTAGGGGTGGGCAATGGGCGGGTTGGAATCTATGTGACCCGCAGTCGACCCACATACTTATGCGGGTTGGGTTAGGTGGGTGGCGGATGGGTGCGGTTGGGTCGCGGGTTAATCCGCAAAAGCAATTCTCCAACTAGCCATTAAGAAAATTGACTAACATTAATAATAAGTTCATAGCAAATTAGTAAGATTGTATCACTAATTTGTGATTTTGATACAATTAATAATTTATAGTTTGTATCCCAATATTTAATGGATATTAATAATAATTTGCATACCAATATCCATTGCCAATGGCTATTGCACAACACAATAACCAATAATAGTAGTCAAAACTATTCTTTATTCTCCACCTTTTGAAGTATATGGTCAGATTATAGTGCAGTTTTAAAATATGATAATATTCGATACTATAAGAAACAACATTTTTCCATGTAAAAATAGGACGCGGGTCATACGGGTGACCCGCAATCCACCCAAATAAGTGCGGGTGGGAGATTTAATAATCCGCAATCCACCCACATCATCACCCATTGCGTGCGGGTCGGGTTATTTGCGGATGGATCGATATCAATCTGCGGATTAACCACCCACGTGCCCACACCTATCTTGATGAGAATCCAATAGTTATTTTGTTCCCTTCAATCTCAACCCTGTTATTTCTAAAATCTCTTGGCTACCCGTAATTTAACCAAAGATATATTATTTTTAATTAATAATAATATTTATATTTTATTGATATTTGAAAAATCATATTCAGTGTGTAGCACATCACATGATGTGTTATATATCAAAATATAAAAAATGATGTAAAAGTGTTAACAAAATTACAACAAAGACTTAAATCTATAATAAATTGACCTTGATTATCTCGATATTTAATTACATTCTCCCGTTTTTACTTATCATAAATAATATTTGCACACAATGATACTTTAGATCAAGGTTGTCAACCTATTTTAGCCAATTGGTTCGGGCGAGCTAGTGAGTCAAGAGTTAATAGATTGATCGATTTAGCCTAGTTAGACCGATTTAACCTTATATATGAAAAAATTCATATTGTACATTCATATATAAATTATATTAAGTCTCGTCTAACATGTACATAACATATACATTACACCAAAATAATATTTCGTAATTGAACTCAAAACATATATATACCGCGTGCAAATTGCTGATGCTAAAACAAAAACCTAATTTTTATGCTATCCATTTGTGCTCCTTTTATTAGCCTACATGTCTCCCAAATAGTTTTCTGCCTTTCATTTATTTGGCAGCCGAGAGAGTGCTCTCACACACACTTATTGTGAGAAACATAATTGTTGAGAGTCTATTTGTTATTTACGCATTAGTCGATATTGTCGGGAAGGGGAATAGTGAGGGTTCATTCGGTTAGGTTAATTATTCGGGTAGTAAACAGTAATTAGTCGGGATATAAATATATGATGTTATGTTAGGTCAAGGGCAAGCAATAATACAGAAATTGTTCCCAACTCTCTCTCTCTCTCTCTCAACTCACCTTGGCCGACCCCCTTCCATCCCTCTCACCTTCGGCGGCTCCCAACTCGGGAACCCGATTCTGCTCTCTCTCATCCCAAATTTCCCTTCTTTCTCACCTAAATCCCCAATCCCTAATTCGTTTAATCCCTAAATCGCACGCCTAGATCCGCAGTTCTCTCAGTGGTATCAGAGCCCTGCTGGCGTGCTGATTACTGAGCTGCAAGAATTGAGATGTCGAACATGAACAAACCGCAACAGCATAAACAGGTCTAGGAGATCGTGACTGTGAAAGACATCACGCACAACAAGTACGACGCGATCGTAACGACGTTGGAGAGCTTAACGGCATCCACAAAGCGAGCTGCTGCTGCTTCTCGAGACTCGACCGGAGCCCTAGAGGCGCTGGGGGAGCGGATTACGTCCTCGATTGAGGAGATGGGTACGACAATGACAGAGAAGCTGTGCAAGGCCTTGGCTGACACCATGACTGAGGTCTTGATCAGCGTGTTTTAAGGCAAGGAGCCAACTCCGGGGAATCGACCCGAGGCAGTGGAGAAGATGGCAGCGGCTGTAGCTACGGCAGCCGCGAAGAAGGAGACCGAGCCGCCAGGATTGGCGGCGGGCGAAGCTGGAGGCGGCGAGCGCCGCGGCAGGGGCGGCGGGCTCGGCTGGGGCCGCGGCAGGCGGCGCGCAGGCGACAGCGGCGGCCAAACCGCCAGGGCCTTCAGGCGGCAGGGAGGCCGCCCGTGCCGGGCGAGGTGGCCGGCGGTGGGGGATCGAGGGCGGCGTGGCCGCCAGGGCCGACTGGGCGAGGAGGCGGCCATCACGGCGGGCCCAGACCGGCCGGAGGAGCGGGCAGGCCAGATGGTTCCGCGCCAGTCTTCAGTGGGCCAGGCCTGCTTCCTGCTCCAACGGCCCAAGACATTGCAGAGGCCCGCAGACAGAAGAAGGTGGTGTAGTTCGAAAAATTGGGTCCGGACTATGAGGAGATGAGCTTTGCGGATCAGGAGGAATGGGAGATGGGCCCTGGGCCAGATGGGCCCGATCAGAACTGGGTGACTGAACCCATGCTGGACCAAACCGGTCGACCGGTTGGGTCATTGGCCGGCCGGACCAGTTATGGCCGGTCCGGAATCGGTCGAACCGAACCGGGTTGGGTCGAACCGGGGCACGGGCCGATGGGCAGCGGCGGGTATGGGCCGGAAGGCGGGCCTAGGCGCGAGAGCCAGGGTCCCGAGGCTGGTTACCCGCCCTGGGGCACTCCACGGGCCGAGGGCACACGACTCGGGCGCAGGCTGGAGGAGGGGCAAGGGTCCGGCGTTAAGACCGGGGGCGGCGAGGAATACCAGCACGAGATGGCCGACTGGGCCTACTCGAGGAGGCAGAACGCGGGGGCGGAGTACCGACGTCACGGGTCGGGTCACTCGATGCAGCCATCAGGCGGTAACAGGTACGGATACAGCAACCCTCTGTATGACTATGAGGATGAACTGGTGTTTAGAGCTAAACCGCCGGTTATTGAGTTTCCGAAATTTGATGGCACTGGTGATGTGGGATTATGGTTGTATGCGACGGAGAGGTGGTTTAGGAATCATCCGATCAGGGAGGAGAGGAAGGCGCATCTGGCGTCCTTCTATTTGGAGGGGGATGCTCTCCAGTGGTGGGAGTGGACTGAGCGGGCGTATGCGGCAGCGGGTGAGAGGATTTCATGGGCTAGGTTCCAGGATGAGCTCCGGTACCAGTTCGGCAGGGCGGAAGGCTGGGCACCGGAACAACTGACCAAGCTTAAACAGACAGGGTCAGTAGCGGAGTATAGGACGGAGTTCTTGAAGCTGGGAAACCAATGCAAGGAGATGACCGAAGAAACACTGGTGGGGCTGTGCATGGCGGGCCTGAGGCCCGAGCTGGCTACTGCGGTCAAGGTCTTCGAGCCTGAATCTCTCCGGGTTGCTTTTAGAATTGCAGGGCAGAAGGAGGAGGAGTTAGCAAGCTGGAGATCCTCTGTGGGCAGGATACAGAAGGCCAGTGGTGGAGTAGGTGGCGGAGCCGGTACGGGGGCGGGAGCACCGGCGGCGGCAGCAAGCCCTCCGGCGACGGGGACCACTGTCGGGACTCGATTCCCGGCCAGAGCACCACCGCGGGGGTTCGTGAGGCTGACTCAGGCAGAGATGGACCAGAAACGCCGAGACGGGCGTTGTTTCAACTGTGATGAGAGGTATACGGTGGGCCACCAGTGCGCCAAGAGTCACTTAATGCTGCTAGTCGGAAACTGGGAGGATGAAGGCGAGGAAATGGAGCGGGGCGCTGAAGGAGAAGACAAGAAGGAGGATGACAAGACCCACGGACCACCTTGAGGGCAAGGTGGGTTTCAAGGGGGATGGATTGTGAGAAACATAATTGTTGAGAGTCTATTTGTTATTTACGCATTAGTCGGATATTGTCGGGAAGGGGAATAGTGAGGGTTCATTCGGTTAGGTTAATTATTCGGGTAGTAAACAGTAATTAGTCGGGATATAAATATATGATGTTATGTTAGGTCAAGGGCAAGCAATAATACAGAAATTGTTCCCAACTCTCTCTCTCTCTCAACTCACCTTGGCCTACCCCCTTCCTTCCCTCTCACCCTCGGCGGCTCCCAACTCGGGAACCCGATTCTGCTCTCTCTCATCCCAAATTTCCCTTCTTTCTCACCTAAATCCCCAATCCCTAATTCGTTTAATCCCTAAATCGCACGCCTAGATCCGCAGTTCTCTCACTTATCTCTCCACAAGTTAAGGAGATAATGTAAAATAAAAGTTAGTGAACAGTAACACTGATTAAGTTTATATGTAATAATATATTAATAATAAAAGCATGTCCTAATCATTCATAGTACTCTTCCAAGCTGCATAACATATGAAATGGTTTGGTTTTTTCAGTATAATCAAGACGATAGAGAAGTACCAAAGGTATACCTATAGGCAGCTAGAGTCAGACCCCTCTTCCAATGACAGTCAGGTAAAGTAACTCATAACCCTTGCTTTTGTACCATGATCGAAACAACACCCAACTAGTGGCTATTTATGCTAGGTGTCTGCTTGTGCGTGGCCTGCCATAGGTTATGGCTCAATACAAGCTTTGAGGGCGGCCCTTATCCACAGACCACAACACTTGTCCACTTGAGTTTTCTTTTCTTTAACTGCTACTACAAAAATAAGAGTGGAAGGGAAAAGCTATAGTTTCTTTTTCTTTAACTGCTACTACAAAAATAAAAGTTGATGAGAAAAGAGTTTACTATAAGACCACCCAAGGTGTGGGTTGGTAAAATGAGAAAAACAGAAAATGTTCCCACAGTGTGGGGAAAAAGTGAAAAAAATGGGAATGTGAGTGGGATTACCAACCACTAGCGGACAAATGGTGGGGAAGGGAGGGAGGAGGGGCCGAGTGTTGGGCCCGCACATAATTTTTTTTTGTTCTAAGTTATTTGTTTTAATGATTTTCTTTTATTGTGAGGTGTTTTGATTGGTTTTATCCGCAATGGACATAATTAATGACGTTATATTTAATTAGTGATAAAAAAATTATATCCATATTAAAAAAAAATTATATCAAAATGTTCGTATTAATTAATTATCACTAACTACGTAAAAATAATGATTATTATATAAAAATAAAATGACGAAATCAACTATAGATTGATTTTAACAAAAAAATATTAAACCAATTACCCACTTTTTCCACCCCACATTGTGACCAAAACCTCCATTTTCCCACTTTTCCCAATTTCCCCACCTTTCCCACCATCCCACATTGTGGATGGTGTAAATCACTTGAAGGGAATAGCTTTCCCTATCTCTATAAAAGAAAGGATGGGATTCCATCGAACAGAAAGCCTTCTTATGCCTTATTAGCGAGAGTTTTTACTGGTAGTAGTACCTCCACCAGAGGAGCGCTTTAACAGGACTTCCGCGCCTTTACGTGTCCACTTGTTTATGTGTTCTATCTATTGGTACACATTACACAAGACATTACACCATTGGGAAGAGTTAAAAGAGGGTCTTAGTTCTATGATAACCATGCCTCTCATCTTCAGTTTTTGAGATTGAGGATTAGAATTATCTTTAGAGCGAAAGTTATGGTTTGAATGGATGGGAGTTTTCTTCATAGCTATTAGGATTAATGCAAGAAAATACTAAACATAATATATGGCTCTCGTAGGATGTACTTTTTCACCATGTCTGTATTCGACCCATGATATTTGCAAGACTTTTCATAAGTACTGTTTAATTTTTCAAAGTGTAATTAATTATTCTTCCTATGTACAAATCGCTGCGTTTGAGCAGAACACCTACCAGGAATACTTGCAGCTAAAAGCAAATGTGGAGTCTCTCCAACGCTCGCAGAGGTAATTAACATGCATGGTTATTGTCACTTAATTGGTGTTGGATTCTGTTGGCATATTACAATATTTTGTAGGCATCTTCTTGGGGAAGAGTTGGTCAACTTAGGAACCAACGAGCTGGAGCAATTGGAGAATCAGCTTGATGGGGCTCTGGAGCAGATTAGACTCACCAAGGTGCGTAATGACTATGCATGTTGTGATGGTTGATGAACTTTTTGGTCGTGTTAATATGTACATTTCTTAACATCCAGCACATTCTAGGTTCAAACGTTATAGATTGACTTAAATTATCAGAACCATGAGAGTATACACTATATGATAGTGCTTTGCAAGTGTATTGATTCGAATTACATGAACTTCTTAGTGAATGATTGGATTCCTTAATTACTCGTACATAGATACTTTGACGTTCTACGTACTGACCGAACTTTCATCAAGGAGGTAATTAGGATTACAACTAATGTCTATGTGTATAGCCCTAGTTAAGATTTATGAGAAAAAAGGACTTATTTGGTCTTCTCCAAAATTAGAGCGACAGTTTTATCAAGGAAGGGTCCAAGATTCATATATCATACTTCTCTGAGAACTTACTTTTCTCAATAGTTGAGCACTTGACTTTCGGACTCTTTGCAGATTCTGTCTTGATTACTAATTTGTTCTATTTGTTAAAGTTATTAAGATATGTTCAAGAATGCATACTTATCGCGAAAGCTCCCCACTTTATAAAAGAACTAGTTATTTTGAACTAATTGTCTGAAAGTTGATCCTTTGTTCCCTCTTTACAGAATCAATTTATTGCAAATCGACTCTTGGAGCTTAAAAGGAAGGTTTGGAACTATAGCAGTATCTCCATGCATACTTCCGCCGCTCCTTGTTATGACATATATTTCACCACGAGACATCCTTTGTGTATGTTATTTCAGGAAGAAATGCTCGAGGAAACAAACAACGCATTGCGGATTAAGGTACAAATTTCGACTAATTCAAGGTACGTACCTTCACATTTACTCTGAATACCATAGATGTTACAGCGTCTGTTTTTGACAGTTGGAGGAGACAGACGCGGTGCTAAGATCTTCATCCTGGGAAGTTGGGGAGCAATCTGGTGTGCCGCCTCACCAACAGCAGGAAACAATGGACTCGCACTGCAGGAACAACCCTTTGCAGATGAGGCAATGATCATCTAGCTATGTATAATCCTTTTTCACATGGGAAGTCTCTTTTTTCTTATTATCTGATTAGCTTTTGTTTTTTGTTTGTTTATTTTATAGCTGTGGCCCAATGGAGATAGATGACAGACCGCGGTCAGCTGTGGCGTCAGCTTCCGGAAATGTGAATGGCCTTCTGAATGGCCCAGGCTGGATGGCTTAGCTGCTTTCTGGCCGGGAATATTAAGATAAAGAAGCTACTTGAATATATCATGTGTACGTATAGTACACAGTAGCTTGTATTCACGGGGGCAGCTAGATTAGCTGCTGCTTGTAATCAAATTCAGCCAATAACATTTGAATGGCTGATCCGCTTTCCTGGACCATGTGGCCTTGCTGTGTCTATATGCATAATGTTGCTACAAATTATAAACCTCTGCTCGAGAGCTAAAATGTAATTGAACCGTTTTAGCCTAATGGTCAATGAGAGTGCAGGGTTGGAAATATGTTAGTGTCTAAAAGTACAACCAAGTATACTTAACGACCAGATAATTTGGATAGGGTATACTCAAAAATTACGATGATGATGATGATGATTTATTAGTTAATAGCCAAGATCATAACCACTGTTCATCACCAAATTATAGGGAAATGTTTTTTATTAGGGTTAATGCGCTAGTTTGGCTCGAAGTTCGGCGTAAGTGTCAATTTTTGCCCGAATTTTTTTTATTGAATCGATTACTTTCATTCCTCCAAACCTATATACGGAGTACATATAGGAACCAATACAATGAAAAGGAAAACTCAGAGTGAGCAGCCTGTGAAATAAGAAAAAACAATCAACCTAGCTACAACCGTATCCACCATCATTTTGAACAAACTTCTACCTAGGTACTAATCTCAGCATCTCCAAATCAATACTAAGTGCACTATTTTCACTACTCAAATACATCAAATTAGACACAGTTAGTCTTCCAATAGAATCAGCATCACGCGGAGTGCCTTGTGCAGTCTATTATACCTCTCTCACCACACATATGCTACACAAGCATACCAGAAAAGTCCAGCAATTCTGCGTGCAGAGGTCTTCCTTTTGCTAAGCACAAAAGCAACTTGCACCGTGTCCACTCAAGACTGCTGAGCACAACAGCAATTAATCAGTTTGTCTTGGGTTACAATACCATTCTGCAGAACCAACCAAGCCAGAAAGCTATTGCTTGACAGGGAGTATTTCCCCCATATTAGTCTTAACCACTCCACTTACGGGAACTGTGGCCTCAAAGTATTCCACACTACTAAAACTTTTTCTCATTGATGGAATCAAGCTTCTTCTCCTTGATTGTACCTTCTCCTTGCTCATTGGGTTGATTGGATCTTTAATGAAGCTCTTACAAAGTGTTTTCCTCTCTAAAACACTCAAAAACCCTAACTTTCTCACTCTAAGGCGGCTCTCCCTTGAAAAGTGCAATAAGAGAGGTATTTATAGAAAGCTGATGGCGGTCAAGACTTCCAGGGCGTGACCTGGCCGTGACCATCAGGGAACGTCCTCGACTCGCCCGAAACGATGCATTTTTCTGGTCTTTAAGTTTTGAGATCGCGGCCTCCTTCATGAGATCACGACCACGATCTTTGTGTCCTGGGCGCGATCTTTTGTCCCGGTCAAAATACGTCGTGCCCACGATCCGGGTGAGGAAACTCTCTGCTTTCCTCTTAGTCGCCTATTGAGGTTCGTAGCCACTGATCGCGGCCACGATCACACGCCGCGATCATCGTCACGGCCTGGTCAAGGGTAGTGACCTGTGGCCATGACTAGTGCATTTTCTCCCCTTCTTACTCCTATGCTTCCCAATCGTGCTCGGATGAAATCTAACGATTCCCGTCAATCCCAAATGAATATAAGACCTGGAATTTCATCACAAACACTTGGGAACAATGTAGTCAAAATCGTGCTTTCAAACTTAAAAACTTACGATTTTACTTTTCTAGGTCACTAAAACGCTTCTACACAAAATCTCAGTTTTTATAACTTATATAGTTAAAAACTCTGCTTTAATACTTAAAAACTTACGATTTTACGCTTCTGGATCACTAAAACATTTTTACGTAGAAACTCGTTTTTGACTACATTGCTTGAGGAAAGCATAAAATACGACACATTGGGGTCAGTTCCCCTATGAAAACCTTCATATCATGAATACCTATGCCAAAATGCATGTTTTGCAAATAGGGACGAGTATGGGCATAAATAACTTGATATGTGGATTAGACACTGTTATTTAAAATGCAAATGCCTTGGGAATATGGGATAAATAACGCCTATTTTGGTTGCTTCTCACATGAGAACCTCTTTTTTTCAAAAGATTTTTCAAAATTGAGCACATGTTAGGAACCGTTTTGAGTCCAAAAGTAAGTAGAGAATCCCGCACACATGTCCTAACCTAGGTTGTGGAAAATATCAACACATTCAAGGAGGAAATCATTGGCCAAATTCCTCACTCCCAACATCCTCCGTAGCGCTAAACTATCCTCCCTATCATGCATAACATCACAATTATCTAGCAATTGAAAGCACCTTGAGTAGGGAGAATGCAAAAGGGACTAACTTGGAGCCCTCAAATTTGAAAAAATTTGGGCATACATACAAGGCTCCAAGTGGTTAAAACATGCTAAATCATCATCCACATTCACTCTAAAAGAACACACATTTATTAAGTGGTTAGACATTCATGGGGTAAGAGAGTATAATCGATAACAACATTCCACACAAGCATTCATGCATAACCCTCCACACTTAAGGAGCACATTGTCCCCAATGTGTGAAAGATAAAAAGATAGGGGAACGAAGTTACCAAAATGCTAGCTGATGTGATTGTGGGATCGAAGGGTAGGGTTGGTGAGTGGATCTCCTCCCAAAGTCGAGAAATTGCAATTTGGACTAGGTATTTCGACCTCTAGGTGAAACTTCTAGTTGTTGGTGGTGTTATTGCTTATGGTGTAGTAATGCTTTGAGTCTCGAATTGTCGTGTGGAGTTTAGAATGGTCCGGTTTCTCTATTTATTGGAACAAAAGTTTGTTTCCCTTTTGGTTGATGAACATTAGAATTTTCTCCTCATCAAAGGATAAACCCTTACAAAGGTTCCTACACACACAAGAACAATGCATACCCGTCCACGCCAAACACATTTCATCAAAAATCAAAGAATGCATTGAACATTTCTCATCATCCCTAGGATCCAATCCCATACACCCCCACACTTGATGGTTACTCTGTAAAACAAGGGTGTAAAGTGGAAAACAATGTTGATTTAGGTAGTTAACAATCTTGATTTATTGGTCTATTAACAACATGTCAATCTAGGGGTTTTAATGTCGTGGCAAGGGCAATAAACAACCTAAATGACTAAAAGTAGGGGTATGGACCAATTGCTAAAAAATCATATCAAAGTGGTAAGCTTTGTTGAGCAAAGGGATCATGCACCTTATACCAATCGATCAAGATTCCAAACTACCCCTCAAGCATGCTTCTAGGGTTCTAAAATAAGCATTGAAGTTCATTTGGCATGGATCAAAAGATTACAAGCACAAATTATTTGGGTTAGGCATTTCATCGAGCACTTGGTGGGAGACAATAAAAATAATTAGAACCATGCAATGCATACCCATCAAGGCCTCCAAACCACATACATTCATTCATAAGAAGATATCATCATTCCATCATTTGTCCTTCACCTTAGTCCATTAGAACTCATTCATAACTAAGGCATGGTCGTTTACTACTACTTAAACTACTAACTAACCTAAGAACTAAATTCAAACATGCAAGTACTTTATTGAATGGTAGTGGAAAAGAAAATGCAAACCGATGTTGGGTTGCCTCCCAACTAGCGTTTCTTTTAGGTCATTTCACCAGACTGTTATCTTCGAGTACTAAGTCCAGCTCAAGACCTCCTTGAAGTTGAGGTTCTCGTCGGTGAGGTGGTGTCTCAAGTCCCGAGCTTTGGATGCTTCAAATGATATGAATGCCCTGTGGACTTGGTATGAATTGTATCTCCACCCACAAGACCTCTTCTTATTTCTTCTCTTTGCCCCATACCATGTAATGCAATCTTGATTGACCATCATTGAATCCATCAAGAGGGATTGTTTATGGTGTGGCCTTGGCTTGGCAAAGAGAATCCGCAAATGGATCCTTCTAAAAAAGTGTATCAAGGTCGGTTGGAAATTTTAAGAAGCACGTGTAATTTGTGGAAACTTAATCCACTTCGACCTTGTCCATTGGTTGGACTCCAATTGCATATTCAATCTCCTCTCCTTGTGAATAATATACCCCATCTTGAATACCAAGCTCCTCATCTTCTTAACTTTCTTCTTCCTTCCTCACAACCTCATCAATGCTCCCTTCTTTAGTTTCTTCTTTGCGATGTTTAGGAGCAATAATGGTTTTACAAGCAAGTTTTTCAATAGATGGATCTCCAATGTCCACCCTTGAGACTTCTTCCTTTTCTACTACATCCCCTTTTGCTTTATTCTTGACGTCAAAGAGGTGCTCTTCATTGTGTCTCAAGCAAAGTTGCTTAATAACTCTTCTGTTCTTCTCTATCCTCTTGAGCATATCTTATTGTTCCTTGAGTAAGTCTTGAGTAGAAGGGTCGAGAATTTCCTTGATTAAAGTTGTCCCTTCGGTCCCACCTCTTGGAGCCAACTTTCCTCTCGTTTAACATCTAAAATCCGGAAGCAACCCGGAGGAAGGTCGGGGTCGCTAGCATCTAGGCACTCCATTGGAATGGTGTAGCGCTAGAATGCTAACACTACAAAGATCTTTGGTGTAGGTGTAGGTGGTGGTGAATGATGAAGTGCACTTCCAGTCCCGACCATGGGTTTTCTGACTCAAGCTCCAAGAGGCTTGATTGGGGCCCAAATGTACACATTTTACCCCTCATTTCTTGTCCGTTTTGCTTAGTATATCAACGTCCCTCGACCTATATTACACTAGATTGTGCTTCTTTTATTGCATTTTAGGTCCTAGCACGT